TATTGGAAAGATATGAATTATCTTCAAATTGATTCATAGATTTAATGTAATGTCAATTAATTCCCCCTAAAAAATACGTGTTTGATTTTAGGTTCTTGAAGTTTCCAGAAGAGGACTTAGACTAGCTATCTACATAAAAAAATCCTTTACAAATAGTGGTGCTGGAACAACTGAATATTCATGTAGAAATAAAGCAAAAAGTCAAAAAAACCCTTCAAATTTGACTTCAGCTACACAAACTAAAATCAATTCAAGGTGAATCATAGATTTATATTTATACAGTTCTTAAGGAAAATCTATGTACTCCATATCCCCTTTCAGTTCTTTTTAGTTAAAGTTTGTGACATCGGAGCATGGGGTAGGAAAGATGGTGGAAGGAGATGAAATACATGGATGAAGACACGAATGGTGTGACTCTACTTTGTGTACAGAGATATGAAAAATTGTGCTCTATATGTGTAATATGAATTGTAATGCATTCTACTGTCATATATAACAAAATTTAAAAAAAATGTGACATTAGTTAAGTGGCTGATTCTTACTTGAATATTATATTTGTAATGGTTATGGTATTATAGTGATGTTCATTATTGATATTTGGTATTTGCATAATTTTTTTGTTTTTTCAGGGTTTACATTTATTAATGTCTTTATTCATTTTCTTTCTTTTACATTTTTTGAGATTACTTTGGTTATTTTTCCAAAAAAATATATAATGTCAGCAATATACTTCCCATTAAGTGTGTCATTAACTGAATCCCACTCCCTAAAATTTTTGTTAGTATTTACTATCAAAGTCTTTAAAAAATAGCTCACTAAAATAGCTCACTAAATTTATCTGATGTTTTTGTAAAAGATGATTTCTCTAAAATTCATTTCTACTTATTTGGTAGTATATAAGTGCAATTTATTTTTAGATGCTGGCAGTTGACCTTTTAAGATTTATTCAGTTGACTTGAATCAGGCAATGAAATGTTTCAAGCTCCATATTAATTAGTATAATATTGTTAAAAGAAAAAAATTAACAAATTTAACAGTTTATTTAAGCAAAAACTGATTCATGGTTCAGACAATACTCAGAGCTAGAAGAGGTTCAGAAGAGTGTTGTTCTGTAACATGGAATGAGCATTTATAGACAGGAAAGAAAGCAAAGCACAGGATATTAGGAATTGAACTGAGGTCATCATACCTGCTAGGATTACAAGCACTCTACCACCAATCTATATCCCTAGCCCTCTAATTTATGTTTTGAGGTCTTCTTAAACCAGTGAATCACATTTAAATTTTTATTCTTTTTTAAACATACAACAATTTTCCAAGTAGTTTTTTCTTCTTTTTCTTCTTCTTCTTCTTTCCTTGAGACCAACTCCTGCTATATTGCTCAGGCTGAACTCTGTTGAATTTAGGGAATCCTCTTGCCTCAGTCTCCCAAGTAGTTAGAGATATCTACTTGAGGTAGGATATCACAGAGGAAGGGTATGGTAGAGGAAAGCAGTTTAGCTCAGGATGTGATAAGAAGCCAACAGAGTCTCTGCTCAACAAGAACAAAATGTAAACCCCAAAGGCATAACCCCAAGGACCCACCTTCTCCAGCCACACCCTACCTGCTTTTAAAGTTACCACCCAGTTAATCCCTATCAGGGGATTAATGCTCTGATTAGATTAAGGCTTTATAATCCGGTCATTTCACCTCTAAATTTGTTGCATTGTCTCACACAGGAGCTTTCTGGGGAAACATACTATCTAAACATAATAAAAAAAAAAAAAACACACATTTTTTTAAGACGAGTTCTTGCTATATTTCCCAGGTTGACTTTGAGCTCTGAGCTTAAGGGATCTTCTTACCTTAACTTCCTGAGCATTAAGGACTTTAGGTACATGCCACCAGACGTGGCTCAAATGTGCAGAAATTTAGAACTGTATCTTCCTGGCGAATCGAAATTTTTATGTTATAAAATATCCCCGTTTATCTCTGTGATGATTAGTTTTATGCCAGCCTGGTTAGACTGTAATACTCAGATATTAAATTAAACACTAATCTAAATTTCTGTGAAGGTATTTTGTAGATGTGGTTAGCATCTGCAACTAGCAGGCTTTACGTAAAGATTAAGTTCAATAATTTGGGTTTGACATATTAAAGCAGTTAAAAGGCCTTACAAACAAAACTTTAGATTTCCTAAAGAAATTCTGCCTGTGAAATGCAACATAAGTGCCTACCAGAGATCCCTAGTTTTTGAGTTGTCTTCCAGGTTTTGGACTTTCTAGCCCCCACACTCATGTAAACTGATTCCTTGAAGTCTGTGTGTCAGTCTGTCTGTCTATCAATCAAAAATTGAGTTCTGCTTCTCAGAATCCTGAGTGATAGAATTTCTAATGATACTAATTGCTTCAAAGTTTAAGTTACATAATTATACCAGTTGTTACTGTTAGTGTTTGTATGATGTATATTTTTATTCTCTTATTTTTAAGTTTTATTATATTTTAGATCTTCATATTTTAAATAGTGCATATGGGTATTTTTGAGAGTTCAATCTGATGATCTTTGAATTTTTTAATTGAAATATTTTGTATATTTTCACACAATTTATGTACCATGGACTTTCTTTTATATCTAATTGTTTAGTATCATTTTTTTTCTTTTTTCCCCTTCAGTAACATCATAAAATTCTCCTAAGAATATAATTATAAAAGTCAAATTTGTCACTATGTACACATTTTTTAGAAAATTCTTGTTACTAGTAAGTGCTCTGGAAACTTTGGCTATTATTAATTTGCACCAAAAATGGTGTAAAACATAACCATAGAAATACTAATGGTGAATGTCAGAAGATGTTGGTATTTCAATGAGTTATTTTATTATTCTTGCATGCTCCAGATCACTTGAGTTTTTAAACCTGAGAATTCTCTTCATTTGAAAATAAAACTATATTTTACAAATTACCATAACATAACATAAGGAGAAAGTTGGATGCATTATAGAGAATGCCATATTAAGAGGGAATCAATGTGTGTTTAGCACAGCTCTGAATAAAGTTCCTCTGTAGATCTACTTATAATACTGATGATGTCAAAGAAGTCCACAATGAAATAGAATAACAGGGTTTTCAGGTAGAGATGTGCACCAGGCATTAGAAATGTGTCTGTAGCAAAAGGGATAAGTCAGGAAATATAATCATTATAGAAAAAAGAGTAACCAAATAATCAAATCATGCAATATAACAAGGTAAACAGATCCAAGTAAAGGCTCAGACTTAAGAAGTCATGAAGCAAAATGCTGAGTTCTGGGTAAAGTGTTCTCTAACATAGTGACCTGGGCACAAGTAAAATGCTAAAGAGGAAGATAAAGAATCCAAATGTGACCATAAAATTAATATGCTATTCAGAAGCCATGTGAAAGGAGTTATTCAACAATAGTATAATGATATGGTTAGAGTGGACAAAAATTGAAATAAATGAAGATAAGACAAACTGAGAATAGCATTTCAGAAATATGAAAGAAATAGACTATGGGGTATTTTTAAAAGGTAGGGGTAAAATTGGAGCAGTAAAACCTTATTGTTCCTGCAAAGACAGGATAGATTCAGTGAGGTAACTGGATAAGCCAAGTCAAAAAATCATTTTACCAAGACAAGCTTCTTTAAAAATCAATTCTGAGACATAGTTCCAAGTCAAAACAATCCAAAACTTCATTCCATGTTCAGACTCACTCATAGACATATTCAAGAAGGAAAAAAATCATATGAATACTCACACATTTTCTAATTCTTAAGAATTTTTTAGCATTATTGTCTTCCATGTGGATGTGACAGGTCTTAGTGATTTGTCCTTCCCTGTGCTTCCTCCACCCCACCCCCAACTTGGGCCAGGTTCTAAATTTGAGTCTACTGAATAATTTATTTTATTGAAGCTTAGTCATTGTATTCTCTTTGCTTTGTAATTTTGGTTTCAATTTCCCTTACCTTTTTTTTTTATAAAGTGGACATATTCTTGTAAAGCCCACTGCTTACAGAAAAGCCATAATGTAATAAAGAATAGTGTGAGAGCTATTTAGAATTGTAACCAAAACTATGTGCTAGTAAAATTTACTTCAAGTCCTGATAACCTGGATCATAAACCTATATTCTCTATTAATGTACTGCATAATAACTTTCCCTATTTTCTCCTTTTGATAATCAAAAGGAGATATGACTTCTTCTATTTTCAAAATCTCACAGTGAAGAGAGACTTTCATGCATCCTGAAAACCTTTACCAAATGTATCATAAATTTTGTATTTTGAAAAAGAAAACAGTTTCAATATATTTTATCCTTTGCTTTGACTTTTAACATATTAAAAAATCTACAAATGTGCAAGCATATTGTTTCATTATTCCCTGGCAATCAAATATAGTACATATGCAAGGAAACTTCCCTATAAGTGAGTTATTATGGATGTAAAGAAGAGAGAACATAAGCAAATGTTTATAAGAAAAATAGGAAGGTGGAGAGGTAATATCTTTCAATTGTCATGTTCTTCTACTTTTTCTACTTCAAAGCCACTGGCAATAAGCACTTCAGTGTCTCATGCATTGTATTCCAGGGCTTCTAAAATACGACATGGATAGTTTTCAAAGACCCCTGTAAGCATAAATGAAAGCCAATGGCTGGATTGACTAAATGATAACTTAGAGATATAGCCATGGTAAAAATTGTTTGAATTGAAAATTTGAATTTTTCCATAAAGAAATTTTTTTCCTTGTCACCTGTTCCCATAGTTCTTGTTATTTCAATCAAAATTTTTATGGTTTACCATATAGCAGTAAGCAAATGATGTTCTTTTTGAAGAAGCCCTGATAATGAATGCAAACTTTCAGTTTCTTCATAGGATGAACAAAGATGCTTTGTGGTTTTTATTGTTTATCAAATTACAAATAAAGAAAGTAGAAAATGAAACTATCCCAAAAGTGGAAGTCATTCTTTCTGATTACGTGATAAGCTGTAGTCACTGGCTCTAACAATGACTATAAAAAATAGATGTTCTGAAACTTCTTAGAGGCTGAGGAGGATCAGTGGAGTAGACCTCAAGAATGGCACTTATGGAAGATTCTTGGGAAATCCTTGAAGAGTACCATATAGATGAAGATCTGGGCTTCGCTCTGCCAAATCCACTGGTAAGAGAGGGTGGTGAAATAAGGGGAAATATCACAATTGGAGGCAGAGTTTGAATAACTGTGTCTCTCTGTTCTTCAAATTTTCCTCCTAGAAACTCAGTAATATATGTAGTTCTTATTTACCTAATAGAAATTAAGAATGATTAAATAAAGAAACCATGGAAGGTATTTTACCTTTACAAAAGGACTATACTATAGATACCAAAAGTTGACTGATTACAATCGTTTTTTTCTGAGGGTATTCAGAAAAGGCCAAAGTTATAAATGTCCATGAGTCATGCAGAAGCCCCTTTATCTAGTGATATCTGTCAAACTGGTCAAAGTTTGTGCTCTTGATTTGATTTGGTTTATGAAATGATACATCAAGTAACTTTCGTCTTGTATGAATAATGGTTACTGTTTACAGTAATGCAAATAAGTATGAAATACCTAAAAAAATTACATTTTGCAAGTTTTAGCTATAAAGCACAATGCATATGGAGAAAAATGCTTGCTTCAAAATTACATGTCCCTAAGTTGTAGTCTAAAGAATGCCACGTATATCAGTTTATCATTAATATTTTAATTATCACACATTTAGAGTCAGAGGGCAAGATAGTCATACAGAGGTGCCCAGCACTCACCTCTTTCACAAAGAAGCACCAGCATAACAAATAAAAGCTGAATTTTGAGGTGAGTGATTTTGGAACTCAGCAAGGTAGAGACAAGAACCCTGTAAGATACAGTCTTGGGAGAGTGGAGAGTATGGTATAAAGCTCACCGAAAAGTGCGACCCAGGTCAAGGAAAGGGGTAAAGTCCCAGCAGACCTCTGTGGCCATCAGCAAAGGCAACCTTGCCATCGACATTGGCAACCTTAGCGACAGGGGGGATAAGCTTGGAGCCCAGTTAGAGGGACTTTCTGGAGCGTGCACAATAGCTTGGCTCCAGAGAAGGAGTGTGCACTGTCTCCCCGCACAAACCCCAGATCCCACGATGCTGCAGGCGGGTCCCACATTGAGGGTGGAGCTATGCTGCCTTTTCTGCTGCTTACGGGATCAGGTTAATTAGCTAAGCAGTGTAAGAGGCCCAAACAGCTTCCCTGAAGGTTCCAACCTCTACCTAATCCCCCCAAGTTTCACCGTCAGTCCAGTTGCCCACAATCACGCTCAGCGGCGGACACAGCCGCAAGTTTCTGGAATAACCCGCCCAAGCAGCCGCCCTACCCCATCCAGGCGCGCAGCAGCTGAGCCACCGCTAGAAGTGGGCGTGTTGGGGGCGGAGCCACAGCGGGGTCCCTCCGGCTGAGGAGCCTGGCGGGGAAGCAGCTGCATCGCTCCGCAGGTCGGGCATTGGGATCAGCGGCCTCCTTGATCTGGCCTGGGTCCAGGCTTCATGCCCCGGCGGCGGTGGACTCTCCCAATCGCCCGAGCCGCTGTTGGGTCCCAGGGTGCGCCGCAGCTACCGTGGAAACTCCATTGTGCTCCGTTTCCAGCGCCACCACTTTCACTGCCAGAGTGACCACATCTACAATTGTGTGCAACTTGTGAACCCTGACACCTCCCCCCCCCCCTTGGCTCCTGGAGACCTCAGGGCTTTCACACACACTGCGCCYAAACACATGCCTGTAGCTGAAGAATCTCTGTGAATTTTATTTATATCTGTTATTTTGCTTTATAGTTCACTTACAGTCTTAACTTGGTTTTAAAGTTCGAAGCCTTACCCATGTGGAATAAAGTTAAGCCATTTGTCTTCAGTCACCACAGTCCAGTACTGATGACCMCAAAGGCACACTTTGAAGCAACCTGAATGAGGCATTAGGGCAGGGTATACAGGGAGTTGTTCAGACTTCTGCCTGTGCCTCACTTCAGGATTTTGCCTAGGTCTTGCGTTTGTGTGTTTCCCTTTGGGTTTTGTTTGCTGTTTAGGGGAGTATTAGGAATTGAACTCAGAGGTGCTTAGCCACTGAGCCACATCTCTAGATGCCGTTCCGCACCTGGCTGTATATTTTCTTTTGATATGTGATAAAAAAATATGATCAGATCAAGAAGACACTTTTATTTGAATTTCATTTGTATTTGTTGGGCAAAAATCAAGCCTATAGTGGAACCAAAGTAGGCAATTTACATGCATACAGTAGTCCACCCTCTATGTTTTTGCTTTTGTTTGCTTCAGTGACCTGCAGTCAACCATAGTCTCAAAGTAAAATGGAAAACGCCATAAGTAAACAAATTTATGAGCATTAAATTGCTCACTGTTTTGAGTCTTATAATGAAACTTCACACCACTCCATTCCATCCCTCCCAGGACATGAGTCATCTCTTTTTCCAGTGTATTCATGCTATAAACTCACCTACCTGTTAGTAACTCAGTAGTGCCCAGGTTATCAGATGGACTGTCAAAGTTTTGCAGTGCTTGTATCCAAGCAACCCTTATTTTTCTTACTAATAACCCCATAGCACAAGAGTAGTGACGTCTCTTGACAATTTAGATATTCCAAAGAGGAGTTTAATGTGCTTCCATAGAGTGAAAAGGTGAAAGTTCTTGATTTAATAAAGAAAAAAATTGCTGTGTTGTTAAGCTCTATGGTAAGAACAAATGTATCAGTGAAATTGTGAAGAAACTATTCAAGTTGTTTTTTCTGTCACACCTAAAACTGCAAAAGTTATGACCAAAGAGCATAGTAAGTGCTTACTTCAAATGAAAAAGATATTAAGTTTATCATAGGATGTAGATATAGGGGAAACACATAGTGGTTAAGTGCTATTTGCAGTTTTAGGCATCAACTGGGAGTCTTGAAACATTTGCTAGAAGCATAAGAGACTTTATCCTATACAGTTTCTTCTATATTTCCAGGTGTATTCCAGTTCTTGAAAAAGATATAAATTTAAAATAATTTGCACATTATAATCCTTGTAATCAAATATTAAGACATAAAAAGACTATGGATTCTGAAATTGGAAATATATATGTCTGAATTACAATTGTGTGTGTGTGTGTGTGTGTGTGTGTGTCACAAGTTATGTAAACTGAGGCCAGGTTCTTTTTATTTATGACATAGAGACGACTTTTGGGGCAATTACAAGAATTAAATGAGAAATGCATATGAAATTAGTGAGCAGAAAGCCCAATCCACTAATGAGATTTTCTTCTGTTCAAAGAACTTAAAATCTAGTTGAAATGGAAAAAATATAAAACACAAGATTACTTAATAATAACATGTAAGGTATACTCCATAGGATTTATAATGGAGAAGATTGATGTTGAATGGTATACTAAGGAAGGTGTTAGAGCATCTGTTGGGTTGAATTTTGAAAAGGATGAAAAATGAAAGTGCTTAAAGAAAGAAGAGGTGGAAAACAGAGAAGAGCTTGATCCCTGTTTGTCAGGTGGAAAGCACAGGCTGGTGTTTTCAGACAAGTACGGGTTTGTTGGGGCARTGATGCACAAAATGTACTTAGAAGCAAGGGGAGTCATCCACAGGAAACCAACACTATTTTACAGTAACTTCCACTAGCAAATAAAAGTCCTATTTTTTTCTTTCAAGGAGGAACTACCTCATGATTATGATGCCTGGAGTTTCATTGCTAAAAATCTTCCTGAACTGATTGAGAATGGCCAACTTCGAGCAGAAGTTGAGAAGGTTTGAAATATATATTACATTTGTCTTCTTATATGGCTGCTTAACATTTTTAAGTTGATTTCTAAGCCTAAATTAGAAATTGGGTCAAGAGTGAATTGGGTCAAGTCTCTCCATTTGTTCTCAGATACCACTGCTCAGCATTGATGAGCTCCAAGGACATAAGTCACAGCGACTCGCACATTTGATTCTGGGATACATTACCATGGCATACGTGTGGGATCGAGGTGATGGAGATGTCCGAAAGGTATGGAGATTTTCTGATATTTCTTATGCAACATGAGTGAAAATGAAATCCAATTGATATTTAATGTAAACAATCCCAGTGTCTGGTTATAGGTTCCAGAGCATTTGCCTATCATGGGTGAGGTCCTGAGTTTGATCACCTGTACCACAAAAAAAAAAAAAAAAGAAAGAAAGAAAGAAAAAAAAGAAAAGAAAAAGAAAAAGAAAGAAAAAAAATAAGAAAAAATTTTCAAAAAGTACTATAACTGTACTTTTAAAGTTAAGATGAGAGAACAAAAAGAAAAGAAAATAACAGTTTACTGATTTAGCATATCAACTGTTATGATTATACTTGCCTTTTTCTTGTATAACACAGTTGCTCCATCCTATCCATACACATATGCATTCGACTTCTTTAATTTAATTATATTGTGAACACTTTTTAGTTACTACACAATCATCCTAATTGTTTGAAATAATTGTACAACTGTTCATTGAGTTACTGAACTTTTGCTTACCTACTAAATCTTCTATTGATAAATATTTAACTTTTCAAAAACATTTCATTATAAACTGGGCATGGTTACACGTGCCTGTAATCCCAGCAGTTCTGGAAGTTGAGGCAGGAGGATGCAGTGTTCAAAGCCAGCCTCAGCAACTTTGAGAGGCCCTCTGCAACTCAGTGAGACCCTGTCTCTAATAAAATACAAAAAAAGGACTGGGATGTAGCTCAGCAGTTAAGTGCCCCTAAGTTTAATTTCTGGTACCAAAATAGAAAAAAAAAATCAGTATTATATATGACACTACAATAAATATCTTTGGATGGCTCTTCATGGTTAAGGTGTAAGTGCTTCCATCTATCAACATAGAAGAGTATCTTGGTTTCCTTCAACTCTTATCAACATAAAACAACCTTAATTTTAAATCATCTTGTATATATATTTATAGGTATGCATTCATGTGTCAGTCATAGTCTTACTATTAAAATAAAAATAGCAGTGATGATCACATTGTAAATTAGGCTCATATTCGGTATCTGTCCTGTAATGCTGCTAAAATCCTTGCCTTCCCATCTCTTGTAGTGGTCCCAGATTGAGCCAGTGCAAACACAGGGGTTCCAGTTAAATTTGAATTTCAGATATGCAATTATTTAGTGTATGTGTGTGTCCTGAAAAATGCAAATTTGTTGGACATCCTGTATTTTATTTGGCAGCCACAATCTTATCAAACCAATACTTGAACTTTATTTATTTATTTGGGGGGAGGTTACCCAGTATTGAGCCCAGAAGCACTCAACCACTGATCCACATCCCCAGCCCTATTTTTTGTACTTTATTTAGAGACAAGGTCTTACTGAGTTGCTTAGCACCTTGGCCATTGCTGAAGCTTGTTTTGAACTCTATATCCTCCTGCCTTAGCCTCTGGAGCCGTTGGGATTACAGGTGTGCCCAACCCCACCTGGCTCTGAATTTAAGAATAAACAAGATTCAAAGGGCGTCTTCTACCACTTAGTGAACACTTTCCTTTTTAAGCAAAGCTAATTACTGTTTTATTTAGTTATTTTTCTTATCACATTGTGCTTAAAGGCAGGTGACCACATATGGTCCACCTATGTGATGAGTCATTTCGGACACACAGGGATAGAAGTTGTTGTTCTGCATGATCTTGGGAACAACTCATGCTAATCATTAAACTTCTACATCCAGATTGGGATGATGCCAAACAGTCTAAAACTGGTTCTAGTCTTATAATCTAACTTAAAAATTCTTTAAGTGAATGATCTCATTAGATTTGCTAGAAATATGTGTGTCTGTACTGAAAATCAGTCTATGCTAGTTGCCCTGAGCAGAAATCCAGAGGACTTAAATAGTAGTTGGTGTCACCACTAATGCTCAGAAGACAGAAAAACAAGGAAAGAGGAAAAACACTGACCAAGACCGTGAAGACCAGAAGGCATATAGTGTAATTGAAAAATAATAAATGTATCAGACTTTAGGTCAGAATTAAGAAAGAAAAGATGAAAGTGTATTTTTAATTTATCATGATTTCATAGTCTTATCATTCTGAAAATGATCTCAGGAGATAGTAGTTCTGTAAAACCAGTAAAAACACATTTCAGTGGGGCAGTTATTAAGAAAGAAAAAGTTAATGAACAAAATGTAAATCAATATAAATCACATTTTGCTTGAGAACTGGCAAGAAGTTATCATCTGAGTTTCATAGCAGCTGTATCTGTAATAAAGACATGTTTGAGCACTTTATTTCCTTTTTCAAGATCAGTTCGAGTTAATTATTCAACTAAATGTCACCCCTTTTACCCCTATGATCATTATCTAAATCAGAGAGGGACAAAATTATTTCCTTTTGAAAAATGTAACTATTTTGCCAGCTACAATGTTTCAGTCTTTAGAAGCACAAGCTCTGCAACATAAAGTATACATCCCAGTGTGATTTGATGACCAGTGATTTTGTCCTAACATTCTGTTCTCCTGGTTAAAGCCCTCAAAAGTCATTAAGCTAATGGAGAGTGACTTGGGTTATAACTCCTGTGGTTTTCACAAAACTGTGACCTATGACTTATCATCAGACCATCTCTATCCACTACCCCAGGCAGGCCATAATCCCTGTTCTTCCCCTCCTTAGATACACACATGTATCAGCCAAAGGCTGCTGATGACAATGATTATCCCAATTACTACATGGGACAGTACAATTATAAGCTAGGTGATAGTAGATGATGAAGGCAGATAAAGAATAAAATGTTAGTTTCAGGCAGATAAAGAATAAAATGTTAGTTTCATGGCTAAGGGAGTGATTGGAGAACTTGGCCTGGAAAGGAGGAAGCAGTGAATAGCTGTAAGAGCTCTCGGAATCAGCTTGCCTACTTAGCCATCTAGTTAGGCAGCATTAAATGACTGCAGAATCACCCTGTGTGGGCAGAAGCCTTTTATTCTGTGGCTGATTGCAGAGCAGATTGTACAAGTAGCAGGTTCAGAAAATGAAGAGTTGAGGAGGAAAAAGGGGCTGAGCTGTGTTTTCACTTCCAAACTCAGCAATTTGATGAGTCTCTATACCTCCTCTGAGGAAGAGAGTTTAGCCAAAAGTGCCATCTCAGTTGATGTAGTTATTTCTACAGTGAAATACAAAGCCAGGGTAAAGGAGCTCCCTTCTTCCAGGACAATTAAATCTGAAAGACTTACTAAGCACCAAGGTCCTATGGTGAATCTTTCACGGGRAAAAAAAAAAAAGTGTCCAGGAGAATTTCCTTCTGCATTGAGCTTCAAGAGTASCAAACTGCACTTCTACTGTCTCTTATCCAAAAGTCTTAATTACAAAGACTTTGAGTATCTTTGACATAATCAATTTTATATTTTTATTGCTGGTGAATAATGTGGTGTCTTGCATAGAAAAATTACTTAATAATTATTCATGGGATAAATGGATGAGTGAAGGAGGGAAAATAGCTCCCAAGGCTACTGGGAAATAAAAGACACAGGCTTTGTACTCTGTTCTTTTTCTTCCTTAGAACCAAATTATGCCCACCCAAATTCCAAACATGAATGTTTAACAATTACCAGAGTTAAGTAATGAAATGTGGAAAAGAAAAGAAATCCACTTATTTGGTTTCAAATGCCATTATACAAAAAGCAGTCAAGGTTTTGGTACCCAGAAAGCAGCAAAAAAAGTAACACACTTCAATTATTCAAACTAAGTATTGTGTTTTAATTAGGTCTTGCCAAGCAATATTGCTATTCCTTACTGCAAACTCTCTGAGAAGCTGGGACTGCCTCCTATTCTGTGTTATGCAGATTGTGTCTTGGCAAATTGGAAGAAAAAGGATCCCAGTGGGTATGTAAAACTGTGATTATACCAGATGAATTGGAATGTATGTTATTTAAATCAAGATGTAGTTATTTATTGGTTTAATTTTTGACAGTATAGTTTCTCTGGTATTGTCTATTGTTTCTTGGACTATTGTGTCTGAAACTACAAATGTACAAAAGTGAGAGAGTGCTGTGTATTTAACATATAGTAAAATACATAGAGATTCTAAATGTTCAATTTGAATTTGCCTTTTGTATATAGGTATGCATGTAACTATGTCCCCAAACAAGTTTACAAGCCACAGAGTACTTTTGTGACCTCTGAAAAGTTCTTTTCTTTATTCAATTCCCTTCTCTTTTCCAGGCAAATACATTCTAATTTGTCTTATCAGAAATTAGTTTGTTTTTTATTGCATTTTGTATCAATGAAACCCTAGAGTATATATGCTTTGGTGCCTGAGTTCCTTGGATTAACACATTTTTGAGATTTTACCAATCTATTTTTAATTAATTAATTTACTTACCTTTTTTGTTAATATATTATGATTAATACAAAATACTGAAACTCATTATACCATATTCTACATGCACATACCACACTTTGATCAGTCTCCTTCCACAGAACATCCCTTTTCCTCCATTCTTCTCTCCCCTTGATTCCTTTGCTCTACTCTGACAATCTCCCTTCTATTATTAATTGTTATTTTTATTATTACCATCATAATGTGAATTAATTTTTAAGTAGTAAGTTGCATGTAAGAGTTTCCAGCAGGAAAGCAGCAGTGTCTGCTTCTCAGAAAAGACTGAACAGAATTGAGGCCACTCCTATCCCTGAGTGATGGGATTTGCTCCAACAAAGACCTGTGGCCATGGGTGGATACAGGAAGGAGTGTTCTACAGGTGGTTGTACCACAAAATGAAAAGATTTGATCTAGAAATTATCTTAACAGTAATAATGAGTTTTTACTATGTGTTCCTCGCATATTTAATTTTTAAATTTGTTTTATAAATTAAATATTTCCAATGCAATCTTTAAAGATACAAAAGAAAACACCAGTTTTTCTTTTTTATCTATGTCTTACCTCAGTTTGATCAATAGTATTTAATCTGATAATAGTAACTCAAAACCATTTGATTTCAATTACCTTTCTTTCTCTATTCCAATTGGCTCATGGCTTCCGGATTGATTCTACCAGGCCTATGACCTATGAGTAAGTATTCTAAGAACTATTTTTTATTCAAAGTGAATGTCGATTATCAAAGTATTACAAATACTTTTTTTTTAAAAATAGTTGATTGAATTCAGGCAAAAATAATTTAGGTTATTATTAAAAGAGCAAATAATCCCATTCCTTAAAACTATTTCTATGATTTTAATATGACCATGTCTATTTAATATTATAGGTAGAGACACTTACAAAACTACAACTTGATATGAATTATGGAATTTATATGCCTAAATACAAAATGAACATACATCTATGTATCTGTGATCTAAGGACCTCTCTGGGCAGAACTAGTTAACAATGTCAATAAGTAGTCATAAAGAAACCTGTTTTTGTTTGCTTGATTTTGCTTTTTACTAGTCCTTATTACTTTTGACCTATGTACTCGACATAGCCAAGAGCTGGAGAAACTAAGGTGTAAGCTTTTCCTAGTGAAGCTAGACTAATGGAAAGGAAAGGCAACTTATGAAAATTGTATAATGTTGCATGATTAATAGAAGGGACAAGAAGATAAACTGCTAGGAGCTCCAATCAATTATCTAATCATATAACATATTTAAAGGGAAGAATCCATGAGGCAATTTATTTGAAGTGAGTCCAGAAGACAGGAAGGATGGCAGTCTATATAGCAGAGGACATAGCAAGTGTGAAGACTTGGAACTGACAGAAGTCTTGGTGCATTATCAATGCTGAAGGCTAGCTGGTGTCACTGTAGACCGTGATGAAGATAACAGTAGGAGAAAAGRATGAAGAAATAAATTTATAAAAAGAAGGAGAAAAGTATGAAGAAAGAAATTTATAAAAAGATTATCACTTATCTTGCCCAGGGACATACAGCAAGCAAATAAGCTACAGGGGTGGTCTGACCTCAGAAACCAGAATTCTAACTACCACAAAACTCACAGATACACAGACATTGAAACCATTTTTGTACCAATGCCAAGACTTCAACAGAAAAGAAAAATAGGGTCTAACCAAGTTATTTGAATTTCTCGGTCAATTCCTTTATATCAAATAGGCCACTGATAAATTGAGAGAGGTTCACAGAAAAAAATTTAATGTATTTATTTAAACAAAAGATTACTCCTGGGCTGGGGATGTGGCTCAAGCGGTAGCGCGCTCGCCTGGCATGCGTGCGGCCCGGGTTCGATCCTCAGCACCACATACCAACAAAGATGTTGTGTCCGCCGAGAACTAAAAAATAAATATTAAAAATTCTCTCTCNCTCTCTCTCTCTCTCTCTCTCTCTCTCTCTCTCTCTCTCTCTCTCTCCCTCCCACTCTCTCTTTAAAAAAAAAAAAGATTATTCCTTCAAACTCTACCTCAGATTTCTCTTAAAACCTTGAATATCTTTATCTATTTAATGGAATAGTAGAAACAGACATATTTGTGGACTTTCTAGTTCTAATTCTAGAACACAATTCCAAGTCCCAGTGTAATTTTACATATTATTTATTGCTAATTGTATGATCTTAGGTAGTGTGCCTAATATAGCTGTGTTTGTATGTGTGTGTGTGTGTGTGTGTGTGTGTGTGTGTGGAGTTGTTGATTTAACATGTTTGCAAACTATAAGTTATACTAAAATATGCTGTGATTTTGCTAAATTCTTGCCTATTTTACCTGATTTTCTTAGCAACATGGACATTTTGTTCTCGTTTCCTGGTGAGGAGTGCAGTAAAGGATTCTTCCTGGTTTCTCTGTTGGTGGAAATAGCAGCTTCTCCTGCAATCAAAGTATGTCCACTTACTTTTGAAATTTTTATGTCAATTCATAACAGAGTAATTCCTTAGTAGCTGAATTATAGTAGCATGAATTGACTTTGTGTTGGTTAAATACAATATAAGATCACTTAATTGGGGGTAATGGATTATCTTATAAAAATATTTTATTTGCTTTTGTGTATCATCTAAAATCTAAAATTAGGGGTCATATATTTAGAATCAAATTTGAAAATCCTGTAAGCAATAAAAATTTTCAATGCAATTTATCATTAATAATACATAATGACATAATCCAATTGTTTTGACTTTTAAAAATATAAATGAAGAAATAAATTTAATTTGTGGGTTAAGCTGGGGGAATTTTATATCAATGTTTAGTGGTAGAAGATCTTACATGTTTGTCTTTTATTTTTATTTTTTAAGGCAATTCCCATTATACTCAGTGCTGTGAAACAGCAGGACCAGGATACTTTGCAAAAGGCACTTCTTGATGTGGTTTTTTCTCTGAAAGAAGCCCTAAGAGTGTTTCAGGAAATTCATGGCAAGTACTGTACACATTACAACATTCTAAGAACAGTCAGATGTTTCTGATTGTCGTACAATCGGTTAGGAAATGAAAGTAAAAAACAGCCGTCAGTGAGCATGGTTTCACTTGTTATATTTATCTCATTACATAATTCCACTTTCCATATGGTAGGTTTTATTTTCTCCATTTTACAGATAAGGAAATATAAATTCAAAGACATAAAACACTTAAGGATACACAGGTAGTAACTTGTAAAGCCAGAATTTCATGCCAGATCTCTTTAATTCTGAAGAGATTTTTGCTTGCTTCTAATAATTACGAAGACATTTGCTAAATGGGAAGGAAATTTTAAATTCTGAAAAAAAAATCTTAGCTTCTGCTTGATAAGAGCTCTCTCTGCTAATTCTGCTTCTTCACAAGTTCACTTAGAAGCAACAGAGAAAAGCCATTGAGCTCAAAAGTTGTTGCAAAATTAACAACTAGAAAAGCTACAAAAAACAAACAAACAACAACAACAACAAAACAACAACAACAACAAAAAAAAGGTTTGCAAAAGGGCATCTGCCCTACCAGGTAACAGATTTAACAAATATGTGAGTATTTATCACTGGGCTTGGAGCTACTGCTGATTGCTCCTTGGCAAAGGAGACACATTTTCAGATCAAATGTTAGTAAGTTTTGGGGAGGAAGACCTAGGGATATATATAGTTCATGGGGCTGCTGTGTTTGTTTGTTTTGTTTTGTTTTGTTTTTAATTTTTATTCCCCTCACTCTTCTGGGGGCCTAGTACATGTTAAGCAAGTGCTGTACCGCTATGTCATATCTCCAGCCAGGGTTTATTTCTTGCAAGCAGTTTATCTGTGTGTCAGTAAGAATATAAAGCAATACTAAAGAAATGTTGACAGTTTAACTGGCCTGAGGATGTAGAGTAAGGAGGTGGGTGGCTTCTTAAACAAGCAATGTAGCAGTCTGACAGTGGACCCCATTCCACAATTGGTAGAAAAGTGAGAAGGGCTTGTCCACATGGGCTTTGTTCTGCATAGACTGACCTGATCCCTTTCCTGAAACCTGTGATCAAATCCTGTGAGTTATTTACAACACCTTGAACTCCCTGTATACCTCTAATGAGTCTTAATTAAACATATTCCATCTTTTTACAGAGTATGTGGACCCCAAACTATTTTTCAATGTTCTTCGCATATATTTGTCTGGGTATGTAGTCTTATGCTTGAATTTGTTTTATTTCAACTAATATAAAAACACACCAAATACTTATTGATGGTGCCTCACCATTCATGAGGTTTGGATAACAATTATGCTAAAAATGTATTTTGTAGAAAAAGAATAGATAGTACTCTCTGTTAATACTGGTCCAGGATTGCCCTAGAAGGGGAATAGGGAAACTTGTCATTTTAAATAGAGTGAATGATCTGGCTAGTTCAAAGGTAAGTTTTTTTTTCTGGGAGTATTTATACCAAATTTTCTCAGAATAGCATTATTATTTGCATACATGAAAATTAGGGAGAGATTTGGATAAAGAATCACAAAATCTGTCTTGTCACCTTCTAATACCTCTAGAGCAAGATTTTAAATCAGAAAATTGACAATTAATATAAAGAGTGATTTTTTTTTCTTTCCTTCCTGGTCTAGCTGGAAAGGAAACCCACAGCTGTCAGAGGGTTTGCTGTATGAGGGGGTCTGGGACACCCCGAGAAAATATGCAGGGGGAAGTGCTGCCCAAAGCAGCATATTTCAGAGTCTTGATATCCTTCTGGGCATAGAGCAGATTGCTGGTGGAGGTAAGTGGAAAATGGCAAATAATAATCATCGCTTGCAATAATACAACTTGTATCTTAATATTTATAAAGTTTCTTCCCATTGGCTTATTGGATGCTTTCAGGAGAATCAGAAAAGTAAGGATTACATGGCCATCATCCCATTTCACAGAAGAAGAAGCAAAAACTTAAGAGGATAATGTGACAGGCTTCTTGTTAAACAGCTAGAAAGTGGCAGAGCCAAAACCCAGATCCAAATCATCCTTCTCTCCATCTGGATTTGAATGTGTAATTTCAAGCTGATAGACTCTGGGGGAGCCAGGATCACATGTTCTGAAAATGTAGGATGAGATTCAGAAAGAAAGTCACTGCAAATGAAACCCAATTGTGAGCAGAAGTTGGGGAGATGCAGGCCGCAGTGACAGGAGAGGCCTGGCATATCTTGTGTGCAGCCATCCTATGCACCCAGCAGCCCAAACAGGCTTGCACAGGAGTTTAATGAGGAGCTACATTCTTCAGGAGCATTACCACACACCTGTCATCCCAGCTGCTGGGAAGGCTGAGGCAGGAGGATTGCAAGTTCAAATCTTGAGCACTTTAGCAAGACCCTCCATCAAAATAAAATAAAATAAAATGAAAACATAGTTCAATGGTAGAGCATTTTTCTGGCATGTATGAGGCACCACACACAGAAAAAAAAGAAAGAAAAAAAGATGAGCCACTTTTTTATATGTATTTTATATGTATTTCTTCTTAGAAAAACTTCTTCCCACTTAAGCTTCTATTTTATATACTAAGAAGAAAGCACTGGGCTAGGTGAAAATGGTTTTTTCTTAATTTAAAATGATCCTTTAAACTCTTTTAAACTCAATGTCATGACCTAACAAGTGTCGATTATTTATACCCTGCCTATAACATCAGCCTCTTGAAAGAACCAAATACAGTAGAAAAATGATAAAGAAAACACATATGAACATTCTTAGTATGAAAAATAATTTTTGCTCATTTTATTTTCAGAATTAACTGTAGTTTTGTGTAGTTACCATGGCTGGCTGGTAGCAGCCCAATAACTGTTTATCTTCCAAACAGGGTGATCTTAACCTCAGAACTTTTTGCTATAGTTCCCAACAGTGATCTCCCATTTGCTCTGACCTCCCTCAGCCTTCTCCCCTGACTGGGGAAGACTTTGGCCTCCCTGTTACCTTGTCTTTATCTTGTTCCTTTAGGACCTGCTGCTGAGTTCCTCCAGGACATGAGAACATACATGCCACCAGCACATCAGGACTTTCTTCGCTTCTTAGAGACAGGTCCATCAGTCCGTAAATTTGTTGTTTCAAAAGATGATGCTGGCTTGCAGGAAACTTTTGATCAGTGTGTGGAAGCTCTGGTCTCCCTGAGGAGCTACCATTTGCAAATAGTAACAAAATACATTGTGATTCCTGCAAGCCAGAAACCCAGGGAAAATGAAATGGCAGAAGAGCCAACCGGACAAGAAAACAGAGGAACTGGAGGCACTGATATCATGAATTTCCTAAAGACTGTAAGAAACACAACCAAGAAGTCCTTTTTGAAGGATCGTTAATGTAACCCCAGCAAGGGTACATTTCACTGAAGCACAGAAATTGACATATTTTCCTGTCACTGCTCATTGAATCAGACCCATGAATTAATGATAGATAGTAATTTACTAATGATACACCATAAAAAGATTTCTAAATATTTTTTTCTTTTATCTATGGATCTATGTAGGAAAATAACAAAAAATGATAGTATAAGGATGCTACAAATAACATTAGAAATATTATAATCTATTTATCAATGGAATATAACGATGAAATTCAATAAAGAATCATGTAAGATCTAACAAATCTTGCTTCATTTTTGTCTACCATTAAATATTGCTCCAGATGAGGTATACTCCACACTATTTCCCTTCAGCAGGGCCAATGGATTCTGGTAYTTTCAAAATGCTAGTGGTTGTTCATAATTACTCGTTTATTTGTATTCTCTTTGCACAATAAGCTTCAGGATGCCAGAAACATTCTGTACTATTTATTGGACCTGTGTTCCCTCAGCTTTTAGTAGATACTTAGCAAATAACTACTGAATGAATGAATGTATGAACACATCTATCAGGACACACAAGAAGAGGTCACCTTTGAAATGCAGTTTCTTCCTAGGTTGTTGAGCACTAACACTCTAGCATGAATTTGTTTAATAATGGAATTCTGGAAAGATAGAGATGGAAAGGAACTTAAAAATCATCTAAGCCAATCTCTGCATTTTAAAGATGACAAAATTGAGGCTCAGAAAAGTGAAGTAACTTACTTAGGGTAATAGTTGATATAAATAGGAAGAAATTTTGAGTTTTTGATAAGTCTTATCTTTTTTTTCTTTCTATTTGGAATAGATGAGGTTAGAGGGAAAGGAAGTATGAGTGAGGATAGGAAATGAGATGACATAGCAGGATCTTATCAGGAAGCAAATGGTCAGCCAGAAATTGGTTGCATAATGAAAGATAGAAGGAAAAACTATTCAATGCCCAGAGTGTGAGATTAGCAAACACCTTGAATTCATGGAAAGTTCAGCTCTAAGGATAAGGAATATAATTCAGAAATTTCAACGAGTATGCACAACTATGTTTGAAGAAGGAAATGCAGTCACATACTTCTAAAATCAAAATGTCTAAATACCATTTTAACATCATTGCTCAAATATACCTATCCCAGTGAAATCTTGTAGCTTATAGCAAAATTTTACTTGATTGCCTACAAAATAAGCTAAATTTCAATGGTAATCATACTTATTTGGTGAGATACATTTTCCCCCTTTTTCCCCTGTAAATGTTTCTGCAATTGACTACACATAATTTTATAGTGGACAAAGTATATGTCTATATATATGATAGTCTATAGGTCCAAATAACACAAAACCAGATTTTGAATTTTCCTCTAATGAATTTATATCTGCACTGAGAGAGGCATAATGAAATACTTGATATACTTCTAAAGATGTGGCTACTTCACATCCACTGCCCCATAGTCTCTGTTCATCACAGTGAGTGTTCTTTTGGGCACTGTAGAGGATGTGTCAATGGAGGGCAAAAGCGATATCTTATTACAGGAAAAGATTTTAGCTAGATGTCATAAATTCTTAGTAACATGGTTCCTATTTTTCTTAGTCCATTTTCTCTTGCTAATAACACAATACCACAGACTGAGTATGTTAGTCGAATTTCTGTTCCTATGAAAAATTACCTGATAAAATTCAACTTCAAGAAGAAAAAGTTTATTTTAGCTAAAGTTTCAGATGAGCTGTAATGAGCGGGCTCCATTGCTTTGGGGCTTGTGATGAGGCAGAACATCATAGAAAGGAGCACATGGTAGAAGAAAACTGCCCAGCTCATAGCAGCCAGGAAGCCAAAAGAGACAGAAGAACCAGGGACCCAATATGCCCTTCAAGGGCACATCTCCAGTAACCCCATTTCTTTCCATCAGACCCCACTGCCTAAAGGTGTTTCCACCACCTTTCAATAGCACCAACTGGCTGGCAACCAAGACTTTAGTCCATGAGCATTTAAAAAAAAGTTGATGGAAATGTAAAATAACACTGGGAAAGTTATAAAGAAAATAAGTTCATTTTGGATCACAGTACTGGTCCAAGATTGAGAACCAGCATCCAGTGATGGCCCTCTGGCTGGCTGAATCTTGAGAGAGCAGAAGGAATGTGCACGTTGTGGTCTCAATCTCTTTTCATAAGGTTACCAGGGTTCAACCATGGAGATTCCACCCTGATAAACATAAGTTCATCATAACTAATCCTAACCCCCTCCCAAAGCCTCTAAACTACCTACCAGAGTCAGATTGTTTCCATCCTCTCTTTACCTCAAGATGGAAATGTACATTATGAAATGCTGTACATACTTTAAGGCTTCAGAAATTAAAATCAATTACACTGAAGACTGAAGTGACAGAAGAAGACTTATGTCTTTCACAGAATGAGTACATGAAAGATTTCCAGTGACGAACACATAATTACTATGTACGAACCAAATGATGGAAGAAGTTTTCTGTTTTTGATTATGATGCACCCACCTACTGACAGTGTTAGTGGTAACAGGGTTGACAAATTACTAAAACAGAATCCTGGAGTAAATATGAATACTATTCCTTTGTACAACTTGTAAGATGTGTTTCCTAAAACTAGTACTATAAATGCAATGCTGGAGTTGATTTTGAGGTTGGGTATTATGATGAAGTCAAAAGAGTAAATTTAATGTCAGTGGTGGAAAAAACTTAAGAAAGGAGAAACTGAAGTTGATAGTTTGAAAGAGGAAATGAAAATATACATGGTTTTCACTAATGAGGCTCATTGTATTTGTTGAGCACTGGAAACCAAGATTTCAGAAGAGGGAAATAATACTGGGATTACTTCCTTCTATCTGGTTATTCTAGAAAAACAGTCTGGCAGTACTAGTATACCTATGACCTTATCACCTCCTCCTGTGGATCAAAGTTCCCAGTGAGAAATATTGGATCTTGTAATAGACTGCCATGAGTAATTTTACTTCTGCATTCCTAATCTAGCTATTGTTATATTATGTAGGATCTGGCTGAACAGCAGCAATTTGGGTACAAACTTTTGTTCCAGTGCCCAATATATTATCTTTAAAAATCAATATAACTTTGACTTCTATTTTTATGAAAAGTGTTGGTGGAAATACACAGTAAACTAGTGGATCCATGTGGATATAGTTTCATGATGGCTTACAGTTTATCCTGGAGGTGGGATTATTTTCTATTAATTATGAAATATACCAAAACAACTAGATACCAAGAATTAAAACAATTGCAATTTATATAGAAGAGAAATGGTATTTCACTTGCTAATTGGTCTATGGGCAGATTGACAGAATTTCCATTTTATATTGTAGAATTTAGCAACATATTTAAAACATTGGTTATTAAACATGAGCACTCTAAAAAAGATATGTAAATCCCATGATGAATAATACTATAGGCATGTTCATGAGCTGAGAGGGTATCAAGTAAGTATGAAGTGATGAGAAAATATCAGAATAGATTTGAAGCAGTGAGAACAGTTATGTGGTTGCTAGGTGGTTATTATAATATCTCAATAGTAAATGGCAAAAGACTCAAAGCATGACCTTGGATTGGAAAAAGAGAGAAATATTAGAAGCATTAGGACAGCTAGATTGGAAAGACCAGTGTTCTATTGGATGTGGGACTGCTGGAGAGATGACTCAGGTCTCTATCTGGTCAACTTTGGGCAGTCACACAGGGTCTTACACTTCATTCTCTTCTATCAGGGTCTTACAATTCTCAATATTTTTGAACAAGAGAACTTACATTTTTTATCCATTATTAAGCATCTCAAATTATATTGCTGGTTCTTAGAGATACCATTAACTGAATATGGAATATAAGAATAAGCTAAGTTTTATTCTTGTTACAATAGCATAAGTGACAACTTTAGCTTAGAACTGACACTAGACAGTGGGATGTCTGCTGAAGGCCTTCAGCCAGTAGCTGCAGATTTTGGCTTTGCCCCTATCTTAATGGAAGACATCTAGTAAAAGTTGAAGGAGTTGAGATATTTCATAAGGAACCTCTATAGAGCATCCAAGTCCATATGTCCAAAGGACAGAAAGACACATGAGTTTAGAAATCTGAAAAAAATCCAGCTGGAAGAACCACACTGTAGTCACCAGGCTAGAGAAAATGGTCCAAGTCATTGAATGAATGAATAAGCACACTCACRGAGAGGGCACAGAGCAAGCAGAGGGGCAATTCAAATCTTCACTATAAAGGTGACCAATAATCAAGTATAACCAGGAAAAAAAGGAGAGAAGACCCAAAGAAGGCAAGCCATGGTGGATGGGATCATGACTTTAAATCAGATTATCAGCGTTTCAGTCCTGGTTTACCACTCATAGAACCATGACACTCAGCTTTATCATAACTTTTCTTAGCTGCAGTGTCCTCAACTAAATAATAGAAATAATGATAGTACCTATCTCACAGGTCTGTTGTGAGAATAAAACGAAATGCACTATGGAAAACACTTACCTTAGAACTCAGCCGAGAGAAAAATCAAGGATCATTGGCTGCTATTTACCACTATTATTATTTTACAGCCAATAAAATGAGGAGGAATACATGTAGTGAAAAATGTCAAGGAGAGAAGAGAGTTAAAAAAAAAAAAAAGTAGGCAGCAATGTCAGATACCTGAACAGTTCATTAAGGAAAGGACTAGGAAGTCCCCCATTGAATTTAGGAACAAAGAAATAATTAATGAGCTGGAGAAGAATACTCAGTGTACCAGTACTATTTGGGACTTTACTTATCACTTTAGAAACCAAAACTAAGTATATCTGATGGTGTTATCAGTAAACAAGTGAACTAAAAATTTTTAATTGGGAACATGTTTCTTTCATTTTCTAAATATTCCTTGGTCAATTTCCAAAAGTCTCAAATACCTAGTCTCAAAGAGATGAAGCCCTTTTTGTATATCCATACTTTTATGGGAAAGCTGATTATGGAATCCAGGACTCTGAAACTCCTGGCCCTACTGATAAGAGGGGAAGTTTCTGGGCACAGCCACATTTCCTCTTGGTAAATAAGAAAGACACCATGCTTTAAGTAGGATGTGTCTTTGTGTTCTTTACTGAAGAGTACATTTCCGGGGCTGGGTCTAAAATGGTACAACTTGGACCAGAGTATAGCTCTATCTAACATCAAGACCCTAATTCTAAAATATAAAGTCCATAATCTTGGAAAGCATTCCTTGTACAAACATTTATTGAGTGTCAGACACTAGGCTTGCTG